GCGAATTTGCATTTCTTTCACTTAACTACCACAAACAGATTTATTATTTCAAAATAGTAACTGTACGAATACGCATTATATAATTTTGGTACGTACCATTATCTTTTTTACAGATTCTGTTTTTTCCAATTTTATTTGTATAAATTATAATATGATTAATAGGTAGGTCATTTTTTTTAATATTAATTTTTATTTTCTGGAGGTATTGCTGCTGTAGCAATATTTTATATTTTAATTGATTTATGGCTTTCAAAGGCCCCTTTCAGTAATGTATGTTATGTTGCCTATTCCCATTCTACCCGGCATAAAAAAAAAATATATATATATATATATCAACGCCACACCCTAAACATTCCTTTTTCATATGCAACAATAACAAACTGAATCAATTTATATTTTACTCGCAAATAAATGTAAAATATTTTTACAAAAGAATAAGTATTTTAACGTTAATATTTTATTTTTTATAATAAATTACAGTTTCTTTCTTATTTATATTAATTAGAACCTATTTTGTTTCATCGAAAACTGATTATTAAAAATATTTATTGTTTTATGGTAGTACATACTTATATGTAGTCCGTAATCTGCATTAAATTATATTAAATACTTAACTTTAACTCTTTATGAATTCCAAATAAGATATTTAATCTAAAATAATTTTTCAAAGTTGTATGTAAATTTCAATAAAGTTTTATTTGTGTTTCAAACATTGTCAATTTAAAATCTACTAATACAAATACATATTTTCACTGTACAAATATAAAGTTGATTAATTTATGAAATTAAATATTTTTATCTACCCTTACCGTGTATTATTTGATTAAGCAGTGTTCAGGATAGATATTGGATATCGCTAGTTTATTTAAAATGGTTTCATGATAAAATAAATAAAATATCAATAACAATCAAATATTAAAATATATAAAGTTTAAATGCAAAATAAGTTAGGATTTTTTTATTTTTATTTTACTTATACTAAGTTTGGCGCCTGATTTATAACTTTATTATTGTAAAATGTATTTTATTTTTCAATGGTTTAGTATAAGTGTACATACATATTTATGATTTTTTTTTTTTTATATTTGTATATGCGTATTGTAGAGAAATCCAGCTGAAGATCACAATTGAATTGCAATGATCATTCAAACACAGACGGTGGCAACGGCGTTTTTTCTTATGTTTTTGAGGAGGGAAGAAAAGCTCATTTGAATTCGCAGTCTCTGATGAGATAAGGGATAATTAAATCCATTAATTTTTCGGACAGAGACTATATTAAACAGGAACAAACGCGCGGGGTACGACCAAATAAAAGGTTTTTAATTATATTTTTAGTTTTGGAAGCCGGCGTTTCTAGTGACAGATGTGTTCGTCGAATAATTGGGAGAGAAAAAAAATTATTAAAACCCCGACGAGAAGACTCAATCATTTCACGGATATTCTATTAAGGATGGTTAAAATTAAATTCGCTGACATTTTTATTTTCACATTGAAGAAATATAAAAATAAAAATAAACGCACCCCAGTATTTTATAATCTATAGCTTTATGTTTTATACAATACTCTAATTAAAAGTTCATATTATAAATAAAATGTCATATATACTCGTATATTTCATAAATGCAAATTATATCAATCATTGTTGGTAAATGCTAAAATATAAAAATGTAACCGTTCAAATATGTATAATTGTATATAGGTATTGTTCTAATAATTTAAAAATATAAAAACTAAATATATTAATCTGAACTGTATTAATTAATTTATTAAATAATGATGGATTGAAATGAGTTCATAAAATACATTTAACTTAAGCCAAATTTTGATTAATAAATAGAATAATAATAATAAATACATTTTTGAATTATTTATAAATAAAATACATCTGGTGTGTATTTAATTACTAATATTTTTCGAAATGAAAATAACCAAATTTTAAATATATTTATTTAATGACACTAATTTAAACAATTACAAATATATGGTTTTAATTTAATTTAATTTTCAAATATTAATTACTTATAATACAAGATCTCGAGAGATGTGCAAAAAAAATGGTCCAAGGTTATATAAAGTCTACCGTAATTAAATTGTAAAAAAAAGAGCTTAAAAAACTAGATACTAAAGTTATAATGTTTCAGGTTACGAAACGCATGATAAATTTAAATTTAAAGAGTATAAATCTTTAATTTTTAGAACATAAATATCATAAAGCGTTGGAAAAATTTGGCCAATATTGTAACGAATAAAATAAAGAAAGCAAATACGATTCTCATAAAACTAAATGGTCAAAAATAAAGAACTAATTTAAAATATCATAATGATCTGATTTTTTTATTTTCACTTAAAATTGTTTACACATTTCTAATATTCACACACAATTTTATTCACCAAGAAAAATCCATAATTGATTGAAAATTATTAAGATTACTTTAAAAACTATTGATTAACTATAATATTTGATTAATGGTATATTTAATATTTCATTTTGATTAACAATATATATAAAAAAATCTTAATAACTGAGAATTGGTTATTTCATCAAATGTATATATATATTTATTTATATTTTATAAAACTGTTAATAATAATGAGAATAAATATTTACTTTTCATAATTTTCATTCTTGAAGATTATTATAGGAATGGATTATAATTTGACCTTAAGCTTAATATCAAACATTGTGATTTGTTTTGAATTTTAAAATAACAATAACAAATATCTCATTAATAAATATTTTAAAAAAAATTATTTGCTTTATATGTACATGTTACATAAATATACTAAGTATACGAATAGTTTTGTATAGAATTTCCTAATAAAAATTGAAATAATATTAAAAATAAAAACCACTCTTGTGAATTAAAATTTTCACATTATTTATAATTACCTATTATAATTTTTAATCACTGATAATATCATGTTTGACATTTTATTTGAAGAAAAAAAAATAACAATTTAAAATAATATTTCTATTAATGAATTATTATGTATACGAATATACAATGTATATTATATATTATTTAAAAAAAATAATAAAAAATCGTTTGTAAGACCAAATAATTTCTCATTCTACTCGAAATTTTAAATATGTTTTAAATATTTTAAATATTTACATACTTTAAGCACTGATAATAAAATTTTTGAAATCTTGCAGACGACTCGTAGTTGTTAGTACTATAAGTTGCAATTATTGAGAGGTACAGCAATAATGGATAACGGATACTGTTTTATTAATTGGTATGTATGAAGTAACTGATAAATAATGAGAATGTTTTAAACTTTGGGTACGGCTTAATGATAATATTTAAAATCAAATCTAACAGGTTCTTATGTTATTGTCATATAAATCGTAGAATATATAATTATAGTCTTTTTTTTACATAAAAAATATAATTAATAAGTATGCTATTATAAACAGCTAGAATATGGAAAATCTGATCACGATAGTAAATTTATTTATTTTTAATGTATTATTAGTGTTATCGAACTAAATTATAATTATATAATTTGATTTATTAAAAGTGTTATTCGATAACACATGTGTAAATATTGTTATTATTCGCATGATATATTATCATAAGAGCAAACAATATAATTTAGATATTCTTATAATACTGAAACATAAGATTTTATTTATTTATTCGTTAAAACTAAAATTAATTTAACACTTATCATGTGGCCAGTTTATTTTTTATGGTTAAAAAATGATATTCAAATCATATAAATTTAATTCGTAAAATGGAAGCTATGCGTTCCATTAGAGAAATTTAATTTTTATTAAAATTGCAAATGATATAAATACTATGTAAAGTTAATGAAGATACCAGACATTTAGAGATATTGATAGAACACTTAGATTAGTCTACCTAAATATTGTGTATAATATCGAAAAGAATCATTATAAAATAAGCAAGAGATAAAAAGTTAAAAAAAAAACCGTTGGTAAGCAGAAAACTCCATATTTTGTTGGTATAAAAAAATGTTATGATACGCGTGTGCGTATAGTTATGCGATGTCGTAATTCAAAAGTAGTAAGATAGTAGTTATTATTATTATAAGTAATAATGACGGTTTTATGTCCTGAACGTACACATGTGAAATAACTGACCGTTGTCAACAATATAATTCTTACGGTACGAGTTTATACCGAATGAACCGTCTGGCTGGTTTTAAAAATAAAGTTGTCGGGTTCGAGCCAAAAAATTAAACTAAAAAAGCATAAGAGAATATAAGATGAAAAAGTCAAAGAAAATAAATTGCGTCTAATCGTGGAAACCGGGCAGGCCATCTGTAACAGCTACAATGTTTCGGAACACACATAATACTATTATGTTTTATATTGTACATGTTTGCGTACTACGATGTACAATAATAATTATAACAAGTCGTCTGGTACGTCGATTTTGGCGAAATAGTTGTACATAATTTTATTTATGTGTGTCGAAAGAAAAAAAAACAATCTCAAGACTTTTCCACTCCAACATAAGATATATTATTAATATTTGTGTTTTCTTGTGTTGCAAAACATTATATATTATACTTTTCAGACATAGAATAGGTTATTCGGTCTTAATAGGATTTATGATGAAGCTCGTAGTGTCTACTCCATTTAAAATACTGAAAGGGTACTTGTGTGATTTATATTTTTTTGTGCACAACCATTCGAGTTGAGGAAGGTTAGGACGACAACACAGTGATGTACGATGCCCATATCCTAGACCAATATCATGTGTTATAAATATTATTTTATATATTATTTTCCTGTCAAAAGTGTGAAATTCATTCTGAAAATTATTTATAATAATTTTCCTTTTTATTATAAAACATATCTCGTCGTCCATACAATTTTTTTAAAACATCATTACCTATTTTATTTCCTAGTTAGGACTAGGATACTTAATACTACCATATAAGTATCTAAAATATTATCGAGTAATAAAATATTTTTAGTTTAAAATCACATATCTTAATATTTAATATTTATATTATTTCAAAAAATGTCAGAAGTAGTAACTTCTACAGTAGAAATAGAAAAGATACCGGTGAAAAAAATTATTTATACCTAATTTTTAGTAGTGTAAAGTAATAAATTAAGTGTATAAGTAAAAAATGATCAATTTATGTATTCTATATTTTAAACGCTTTGCAGAACAGCTTGCGGTTGGTGAGTAAACTTCTCATAAAATATTCAAGCCATCACACTCAGGATTACTTATTCTATCAAAATAGAAACAGAAATAGAAATATGATTTAAAAACAAAATATTGATTAACGAAGTTTATAATTTCATATAATTTTCATTCATACAGGGAAACAATTATCAGAAAATTAAAAAATTAAAATAATATATTATACTCATAATTTTTATCATACACCCAAAGGTTCACCAAATTATTTTAATAAAAAATTTTAAAAAAACTCCTTTATAATCTAAAACAATGTTTTCCAACCTGTGAGAAGTGATCGAAAACGTTTTTACGTCTTTCTACGAGTCCATAGAAGTTATATGTGAAAAATCACTTAAAAATTCTGTGCTGAAAACACGACTGTCTCTATGCATTCCACCAATACAAAATAGTATAGGAATAAATATGACTAGGTTAATGTTAAACTTGTCATTATAATTAACATATTAACCAGTAGCGGTTCATCCCAAATATGGGCCCATGTGCAATAATAAAAAAAAGGACCCCTTCATATTTTAATTCAAAATATTACAATTATAGTTATATAAGTTCAAATTAAAATTAAGCATTTTTACTCTATAATAATAAAATCTTACAAAAATCTAGGTATTATCTTTATGTATTAAAATCAAAATTATGTAAAAAATAAGATGGAATTACATATAATAATAATAATAATAATAATAATAGTTCGATCGAAATTCTGTTTGAGTTCTTTTTTTTTAGCAAAATTATTAATTATTTTTTTTTTTAATTTAATTAATGTGCTCGATCATTTTCAATAGATAGAATTCCAAATCCACTTGATTTTCTTTACACGTTGTGCTCCGTAAATATATTTTTATTCATTTTAATTTTAAAAATTAATGTTAAAAACGTTAAAAATATATGTTCCGTTATAGCAAGGGTGGGCAACTGGCGGCCCGTGAGCCTTTTTTATATGGCCCATAATATATTTTAAAATTACATCATACAATTTTAAAGTTTATCGTCTATGCTCTAACTTATCAATATAATAATTGTTATCTAGTATTGAACATCGTTAAATGTCTAAATGTCATATGTATGTATAAGCATGACTTTCAACCATAGCTGTTACCAAACTATTTAACTATATCAGTTTCTTCGTACCATTCGGATTATACTATCGTGTGTGTTGAATTTATTAATTCTATATATAAATATATATGCTAATTAAAATTCATATTTTGAATAACCTAATTCTTTTTTTTTTTCTATGCTTTGGCCCGCTAGATTTAAATTTCTAAAAATTGGCCCTCTAGTAACTTCGAGTTGCCCATCCCTGCGTTATAGCAACTGTTAGGGGGAGTGTTAAAAATATCATACGCTGTATATATTTCATAAAATGTTATTTTTAATATGGGGTTTTCTATAACCAGTAATTCAGTAATTGCTTTTACCGATTTTCGTTTTGTAATTTTTTATTTAAAACAAGATCTGAACGAAAAAATTTGACAAGCAATAGCATTAGATAACCAAAATTAATGTAATTTAAACTGGTAAAACGTTCTTTTAATGGTATTATTGGATTATCCAATGTTAAATAAAACATATTGATTTTAAATTGTTCTTTTTCCGAAGTAAAAAAACTCACTGTATTTTGACCTGTATTCTTGAAGATTTATCAACGCAGAGTTCAGTAAAGAAACTTGTGCTCAGTTCTTGTTTAGAAGACTGAAGAACTTTTATTACATTACATATATTACAAATAATAATATCGGATTATGGAATTACTAACAGCTTTAATTTTATTTGACAAAATACCTGGTTCATCAATAGCTCATTCTTTTTTTGTTTCTTCGTCGTGTTGATTGAAAAATGTATAAATTTTACATAATAATACAGCCATCAGTGTGGAGAAAAGCCGATAAGTGACAAAGCGATAAGGAAAAACCATTAAAAACGGATTTTTATAAAAAAAATTTACTCACCCTAAATTTTTATTTATTTCGCAGAAGTAAAGATAATCAAATTTGATACAATATTTATAACAATTATATATTGATATCAAATTGAGAACCATGTGAACAATCTTGTTAATTTTTCATAATTATATTTATTTAATTTATTTTTTTGGAATTTTGAGCAATAATGCTCCCCCTTCTCCTAGCGAAGGGCCCGTAGCATTTGCACACATCGCACACATGTATGACACGCAGGGCTGGACATGTTAACAATTTTTTTTAACTCGTTAAGTCAAGTTATTTTAAAATATTGAAGTTAAGTCAAATTAAAAGTTACTTATATTTTTTTTTTTTGTTAACTCGTTAAGTTAAAAGTTAATTATTTGAAAAAAAACTTAATTTAGTTTAAAGTTAAAATTTTCTAATTTGCAAAAATAAAAAATTGCATACATAATATTAGTTTTTTACGCTCAAGAAAATTACTGGGGAAATTTAAAATGATACATAAAATTATTAACTAGCTATCAAAAAATCCAAAATCAAAAATAATAAACTTTCACAGAAATATAATAAGCTAATAAAGTAATAAACTAATAACAATATATTATAAATTATAACGAGATGTGAACAGAACAAATGCTAGTTGAATAATGAAATTAAATTGGAAATTATACCACGGTTGTTTTGTGATTAATCCCCCATCGACACTCGCTCTCATGGTATTTACTATTTTCACAGAATATTCTTAGGATTTCCATGGGTGTATGGTTTATAGTATTTATACAATAACAATGTTATAAAAGTATAATGATAAAATATAACCCATATAATGACTATTAAAGTTATTTTTCATGTAAACATAAAATACTAAACAACCATAGGCGCCCGCAGGGGGGGCAAGCTGGGGCATTTGCCCCTCCCTGGCTTTTTCAAAGTATTATTTTAAATTGGATGTTTTAGATAAATTACTATAGGTATACTCTACAGCAAATTTAAAGTGGTTATAAAAGTAATAAGTTAACATTATAAAAACATTAGATTAGATTTTATTTTGCAGTCGATTGATAATTGTATTTTTAGATTAGTCCTTTCTATACCTAAATAACTTTATACGTAATATTCTCTATCATCTATTATATAAAGTGATTACTGATATGATTAGTAATTGTTTACCCATATAATATTTTATCATCGTGATCATAAGTCAGTCGTTATTCGTTATTCGATGTATTTGTAAATCTATCGGTTCATCTGCAATATTTAACGGTTGTTCGAATTTGATAGAAAATAGATTTAAGGAGATACTTTAAAAAACCTCGTTTAGAACTAGAACCTGACAATGCTAAAATAAATGAAAATGAAACCGAAACTAGCCAAATAGAAGTAGATCAGTCAACTTCTTTAGGTGAAACATCTACTTCGTTAACTATCGTAGAAAAGGTAAGACAATAATTTTTATTACACTATTGACCCTAAGGTTTTTATAAATATATTACATTTATTTGGAAACAATATAAAAAAAATAACGTATTTTAAAAATTAATTAAAACGTTTAAAAATGTTAAACAAAAAAATATATTTTTAAAATTAATAAACAATAACAAAAATGGAAAAATTAAAAACGTTTTCCATCCCTGGTTTTAATTGAATAATTAATTTTTTAGGATTTTGCAAACATTGATTTCTATGATATTGGAAATTTTATTAATCATGGTAAATTGGCAGACGAGATAATTTATAAAGCATTAAAAAAAGCGTGGGTACCCGATAAATCGTACGATTTTAAAAAAGACTCCAATACTGGAAATCGTTTATTTCGTCTTCAGTGGTTAGTAGACTATCCTTTTATTTCATATTCTTCAAAATTAAAAGGAGTTTTATGCCGTTATTGCGTATTATTCAAACCTCAACTGGATCGAGGAGTGCAAGGTCGATTTATTATTAATGAATTTACGAAATATAAAGACTTCCATGGCTCTGTGAAACTTCATCTTCAATCTAAATGGCACCGTGACTCAACGAATAGAGCAAATAATTTTTGTAATATTATAGAAAACAAAAAAAAAATGTTGTTCAACTTATGAGTTCTGCTCAACAACAAACAATAGAGTCAAATAGAGCAAAACTAATACCCATAATCAAAACAATAGTTTTATGTGGTATACACAATATGCCTCTAAGAGGAAAAACTGACGAGACTGCTATCTTCAATAGCTTATTAAAATTTAGAGTAGACGCAGGAAATACTATTTTAAATGACCATTTGCAAAATTCTGCAGCAAATGCGACTTATACTTCACATAGAATTCAAAACGAACTTATAAATATATGCAATGAAGTGTTACTAGAACATATAATTAAAGATGTAAAGGAAAGCCAGTTCTTTTCAGTCATTGCTGATGAATCGTGTGATATATCCGGTATAGAGCAGCTTTCGTTAGGAGTACGATTCGTGCACAAAATGTCAACCGGTAAATTCTGTGTAAGGGAAGAATTTTTAGGCTTTGTACCATTGCAACGTTTGGACGCCGAAACTATATCTGAACAAATTCTGTCCACTCTCATAAAATTTGGGCTTGATCTATCAAAAATGGTCGGTCAAGCATATGACGGTTGTTCTACTATGGCGGGAAAAATAAGTGGAGTTAGAAAACGAATTGAAGATAAATATCCAAACGCAAATTTTTTTCATTGTAATTCTCATAAGTTAAATTTAGTTATTAATGACTTGAGCGATGTTTCCGAAATTCGTAACACGGTTGGAACAATAAAAGATTCAATAAATTTTTTTCGAGAAAGTCCTTTGAGAAGAAAATACATTCCAAACATTCCTCTATTCTGCGAAACGCGTTGGACAGCCAAATACAAAAGTATAAGGATATTTAAAGAAAACATTAATATAATATTAGAAGCGTCGCAAAAACTATCGGAAAGTGACGTAAACCGTAATACAAAAAATCGTGCTTTTCAATTGTATAATTCTTGTAGTAATTCAACATTTTTAGTTTGTTTGTTTGTTATGGCTGAATATTCTTCTATGTTGGAACCAGTTGCTAATGTCCTCTAATGTAACTCCAAGGAGTTAATCAGAATCTATTAACTGTAAAAAAACAAATAACTACGCTTACTCAAATATTTCAAAAACATCGAGAGTCTGCAGATGCTACTTTTAATGTTCTTTGGGGTAAAATGGAAAGTAGTTTAGCTGAATCAGATATTAAAATAACTATACCAAGAATTGTCAAAAAACAAATATATAGAGCAAATGTACTTGCTGATTGTGCTGAAAGTTATTTTAAAATTAATATTTTTATTCGATATGTTGATTCATTAATATTATCCCTTAAAGAACGATTTTCAGAAGAAAATGAAGTACCTTATTCTATTTTTCAATTATTACCAGAATATATGAGTAAGCTCGATGAAAATCAATATAGATCGCTTACTGAAAAAATTTCAAAAAAATATAGTTCTTTTCTAGACAATTTTGCAGCTGAATCAATGATTTGGTATGACAATCGCTCAAATATTCAGAAATCTCAATATGTACTAGATATCCTGAAAGAATCGGAAATATTTTACCCATCGGTATTTTCGGCAATTTGTATTGGCATTAGCTTCCCGGCAACTACTTGTACTGCTGAGCGGTCTTTCAGCACTTTGCGGAGAGTTAAAACCTGGATACGCTCTACTATGACTAACGAAAGACTCGATGCTTTGTGCATGATGAATGTACATAAATCTACGATAATTGACCTAATTAGTAATAACAAATATTATGAAGAAATTGTTGATAGTTTCGGAAGAGATGTGAGACGACTACAATTTCTTTTTGAGAATTAATTAAGTTACCTTTACCTATTTAATACCTATACTAATAATAAAATAAGTTGTAACGTAATAAAATATATATTGTATACGAGTATAATAAAAAAGGTTATTCTTTTGAAATACCTAGTAAAATTATAATTTTTATCTTCAAATCCTAACATTGCCCCCCCCTAGAAAAATTTCTGCGGGCGCCTATGTAAACAACTAACATATAAATAGTATAAAATGTATTAAATATTTCGAAATTGTGAATTGTCTTTAACTAAATAACATCGTTTAATAGAAATTCGTTGAAATATTCGATTTTGTTAAAAATTTTATTTTAAAACGTTTATATTTTTGTGGCTTTTCAGTTGACTTCTTTTTTTTTTTTTTAGACTGAAATGAGGAATCTTAATAAACATTTTAAATCAAATTTTCAAGTCTTAATTATAATAATCAAAAATGAATGAATATATAACTACAAAATTGTACCGGATTTTATCGCTTCATCAAATTATTTTTCTTCATTCTGTAATAGATGTGTATAAAGACTCGAGGACTAGTGTCAAACATTTGTACGTACGAAGTTACAGAACATCGTAAGTGATGGTAACCGGAACATTAATGTGAATGATTCCGTTTTTTTTTTATGTAACATTGGATAACATATGGAAACAAAAATAAGTATATAATTTTATAATTTAAGCATTTATTAGCTAATACAATAATACATTATTATTGTATATAACCATGCCGATTGCTGTTTTAATAACCATAATATAATTTACAATATTGTTTTATATTTTACTATTAAATAATAAAATATTTAATGTTATTTTCTCTCAGTTTCTATTAACTGGGACAAACTGAATGATCTGGCAGGATATCGGGACATGCCTTTAAATTTGGGACGAATGGCAAGCCTATAATTGAATGAAGTTACAAGAGATATAGGATGAAATAGCATAATAAATGTTTTGCTGATAATATAGTTTTGGTAGAAGAAAATCTGGAAGAAGTTAATTATAGGGTATATGAGTAAAAGTTAGCCTTTTTTTTTTGTAGCTTAATTCAAATTTTAGGTACCTACAACAAAATCATTTTGTCTATTTTGACTCTGTTTGACAGTTGTTGTGTATGTGCTTTATCCATACAATTACACAAATTTTAAAATTATTTTACTAAGAATTTTATTTAAATATGTCTGTTCAAGCAAAACTATAGTACACAGGTGCTCTGTAAATCTATAAAAAGAGTAGCGTCTATGTCATATTTTTGCATCACACCTTTCTTTATAATAATATGAAAAACTATTAATATGACGTATATAAAACATTTTAACAGTTAAAATCAAATATTTACTAGACTATCTTCCATAATATGAAACACTGGCTATTATAATTTAATAAAAGTTGTTAAATACTTTTTGGAAAAATAAAATTTAAAAATTAAAATTTGTACATCAACCCTGTAATATTTAGTTGCCGCACTCGTTATGGTATTATGTTATCATGTGTTTAAAAATAACCACAATAGTTATAATATAATAAATTTTATCAAAACATCCAAAATAAATAAATTATTATTTTTTTAAGAGTTTATACTAATATTAATGATTGGATTCTTAAAAATATTTAATCAATAATAATATAAATAAGCAATATTATTACATTTAAAATAATTATTCTTTTTAAAAATAAAAATGATGGCGATGGTATATATTTTTTTAAATGATCATGATTCAATTTAATAGTTTATTTTTAAATATAATTATTTTCGATTTGTATGAATTTACATTTCAATAAAACAAACAAGGTTTATACAATTCATGACAGTTTTGATTCGAAATTTATTTTTAAACATTTACATAAACACTTTTGTAAATCAATCTTTAATCTGTGATGTTCTTCAATATATATAATCTTAATAATGTTTTTTAAATTAAAATCTTGTCCAAGTCTTTTATTTATATATTTAAAATACGTCAAAATATGAATACGGAATAACTGGCCAATAAATCAATAAATAAACAAATGGTTTTTAAATAATAGTAGATATTTCCTTATTTTTAGAATTATAAGCGCTCTATTTATGACCGGATTTTTATGCATTTGCATGTTTTTTTAACAATCCAAAGAATAGCTAAATAAACTACAAGTTTGAATCATAGTAAATAGATCCAACGTACAAAGTTTTATTTTGCATATTTTGTAATTTTTTATGTGTAATGCATATATCTGTATATTACGATTTTTCATTGTATATATATGATTTTTAAATGCATAATTTTGTATGTGTTGTCATATTTTAATAATTATTAATACATGCAGTACAATATGATTTAAGTCATATTGCACGGCACATATTTTATTATTCTTCATTGCATTATAGTCGAATACTTAAGCGATTCAAACCAAATTGTTTTACTGGTTTATTAGTTTTACCGACATATATCTATGGTTCGTAAGAAATTTTTTTTCTTAGGTTTGTTAAATATTTGTTTTTCTAGGTTGTCGTGACCAAAAAAAAAAAAAAAAAAAGTATGTCAATAAATATATTTTATATTTATTTTTTGTTACATATTAATTATTTAATTAACCATACATATTTTGAAACTAAATAAATTTAATTAACATTCATCTTTGTTTAGATAGTTTTGCATATTTTAAGTGCAGTTTTAATGATGATCTGTTCATAAATATATACATATTTCGTACGTTTTATGTGCACATAATTCCGGATCCTAATGATAATATTTTAGAATATTTCATGTTTTAATTAAGTGCTGTATCAAAAAAGATAAAAACAAGTTATGAACATTCATGTGTGTCTCGCGCATGAATAGTCGTAATGATAGAATTGGAAATAGTAAATAATATAGGTAATATTTATAATGAAATGGACTACGCATTTCATATATTAATGTTTTGCATTAATGAAAATTAAATATAAGACTAAGAGACCATTTTTCGATTAATATTAATCATAAAAGTAATTGTTTATAATGGGAGTCAAAAGAAATAGAGTTCAATTCACTTTTTTCTTTGATTTATTTCATTATAGTAATCGAAATATTATATTCAATATGGCAGCTGGAGAGAACAGTTCTATTCATTTTAAAAGCTACCTTTATATATAAACAAATTATTATTATATTATAATTTAATTTAAAATTATTTATATTTTAATTACCATATAAATATTATTAATGTAATACTTTAATAAAATAAAATAAATTACATATTGTATGTTATTCCAATTGGTTGATCGTCTATGCAAATTAAGAAAATTATTTAGCCAAAAATATTTAAAAACATAAAAATAAAAAATAATTGTACGCCTACCATGATAGGACGCAATACAATTGCAAACTAAAGTTATGTAATAGTAGTTAACAACTACGGAGTGCTCGTATCACAAAATATCATTATTATTATATTTAAAATCTTATAATTGAGTTTAATTGGTAAGTTAATATCCACAGGCTTTTAATTCAAAGTAGACTATTTGATTGAAACTTCTGATAACGTAATGGTTGATCAAGGTGAGCATAATAAGTGTAGGTAATAAATTACTTAAAAAGCAATATGCATTACATTTGCGTACATATGTGCATACGAAGAAGAAAAATGAAAACAGACTTTCATTTCAAACTGTTGATATAAAAATATTAAAATCACTTGGTTTTCAAGTCGTGTGTACTATACAAGAATACTGTTTGGAAACTAGGTACAAATAAATCCCAATTGAATACGAATTTCAGCCCATCATCGCACATTGATTTTCATCGCTGTATTATCACATGGTTAGGTTGTGATTTAACAGCATGAAAAAAGTATCAACATAAGATTATAGGAATACTAGAATTTCTTGTTCATGATACAATTATTTAAACTTCTCGATACCAACTGAAATAACACGTAATAGTCTTAAACTATCTACAATGTTGAACCGCAAGCGAGATACGATGAAATTCGATAATTAATCGATGCATGAAATAATATGTACCGAATGAAAAATATGAAAAATAGAAAAATATCAAATGTCATTGATTCCGCAATTTAAGATAACCAAAAAAAAAAAAAAAATAAATAAAATCATAATGCAGACATTATAAGTTTGTTTGTATAAACTGCGTGTGGTATACATTTTGTAATCGTAGTCGTCGGGATAAAAAAAAACCAATATATTTTTGTTTATGATACGAACAATAGTGGAAAAATTCACCGTAAGCCGTTTCACGATAACTCCCAC